TTGCTAGGGACTTGCCCGGCACTTGCTCTCTACCTCTATTTGTTATCTTACTTCTATCATTGACAGTCCCTCTAGGTTGTGGGCTGCTTGCCTGTGTTCCTGAGAAGCATCTACGGTACCAGTCTATAGAGTGTGTTTTCTTTAGTGAATTACCGGTATGTTTACCGGTAATAAACTTGCACTGTTTTATGTATATGTTTGATTACATACAGCCTTGTGACAGTTTTCCTGCATGTCATAAGCATTTGAATATAAATTAAAATGTTAAAATCAAATCTGATATTGTTTTACCTTTTATTTGGTGTGTGGAAGGTGTGCGGAAGAGGGGGTAGTCTTATACGGCGAGTATATAACAAACTCTGTATTTTGAGTGGAAATGTTAGGGGGTCGTCTTATACGCCCAGTCGTCTTATACGCCGGCAAATACGGTAGTTATATTGTTACCACTGTGGGTTTTAAATAGAAAAAAACACTTTCCACTCCCCAGGAATGCTCCCCTCAGCCTCGCCTAGGCAGCAGCTGTCCAGCAGAGGCAAGAGTTAGGTTACCCACGGGTAAGAGAGGGTGTGTACCCTGCCCAAAGAATTGTGTGTTTTTTGTTTTTTTTAAAGCCTCTCTTCTGAAGATCCAGATTTGATAGCTGTAATTTGAGGCTCAGACATCTGTATTTATTTTATTTTTTCGTCACCACTTATCCCCATTATACCCTCTTTCACCTCCACCCACTCCTCTCCCCCACCCCAACAATCATCACACGGTTGTCTGTGTCCATGAATTCTTTTTCTTTCTTTTTTGCTCATCCCTCCACTCCGACAATACCCCCCTCTCACACCAGAGCTGTCTGCCTGCTCTCTATGAGTCTGTCTCCATTTGCTTGTTAGTTCAGTTTGTTCATTAAATTCCACATATGAGTGAACACCTGTGGTACTTGTCTCTCTCTGACTGGCTTATTGCTTTCACTTAGCTTATTGCTCTCCAGGTTCCATCCATGTTGTCACATGGCTGAGTAGTAGTCCAAGGTGTAAATGTGCCACAGCTTTTTTATCCACTCCTCTACTGATGGGCACTTGGGCTGCTTCCAATCTTGGTTATTGTAACTAACACTGCAATAAACACTGGGGTGCATATATTCTTTCAAATTAGATAGTCTATTCAACAAATGGTATTGTGAAAATTGGACAGATAATGTGCAAAGTAAATGGAACTAGACTACCTTCTTACACCACACAAGAATAAACTCAAAATGGATTAAAGACTTAAATGTTAGACTCAAAACCATAAATGTTAGATTCAAAATCATAAAACATAGTAAAATCTCAGACATTTCTCATAGGAATATTTTTCTGATATATGTCCTTGAGCAAGGGAAACGAAAATATAAAGAAATGGGACCACATCAAATTAAAGAGTTTTTGCCCAGTAAAGAAAACATCAACATAATGAAAAGACAACCCACTGAACTGGAGAACATATTCACCAATGATACATCCGATAAGGGGTTAATATCCAAAATATACAAAGAACTTATAAAACTCAACACCAAAAAACAACAACAATCCAATAAAAAAAAAAAAAGGGCAAAAGGCTTGAATAGACACTCTCCAAAGAGAACATACAGATGGCCAATAGACATATTGAAAAAATGCTCAACTCATTAATCACTAGAGAAATGCA